ATTCCCAAACCGGAAGATTGGCTTCCGATCCATGTCCAACTCCATGCGAGTGTCACCCTTGTCCTCCAGGTTCTTGATGGCTATATAGGTGTTCCATGGCCTCCAAGGAACCAAGGGACGCAGTGGCGCCGGAGTCAATGATGCCTATGCACTGCTCGGCCACAGCCTGAACAATCTGAGCCTGCTCAACTGGATCAAGCTCTTGAGATCTTGCGCTATTGGCCAGCTCCATGGCACCGAATGCGATCTCCGCCGCCTCCTCTGCAATCTTGGCATCCTTGGTCCGTTGTGGACACTGGCTCTGGAAGGGTGGACCTCCACACTTGAAGCATTGGATGCCTCCTTTCCCTTTGCCGCCACCTTTTCTTTCATCCCGTGGGAACGGACGTGGAGGATAGCAGTTCCGGCCCAACTTCAACTGCTTCTGGTTCCACCTTGCTTCTCGCAGAGTGGTCTTGGCCGTTTGAATTGCTGCTTTGGCCTCTTCAATGCGACTCTGTTCAGCCCAAAACACTTCGAGCTGTTCTCCTTCAAGTCCTTCTGCCATGGCTTCCTGTTCCCCCAGGAAGGCTTCGGCATCATCATCATCGTCGGCTTCCTCAGTGGCCCACAATGCAGAGTTCATCTTTGCTTTGTCACGTTTTGCTAAGTCTGCATCAGACCACTGTTCTCTCAAGGCCTTCCCAACTGTGGCGGTGTTGAACTTGCCCTTGATGGAGCCAAGGATGTTGGACTTCTCACTGGGATCTAATCCACTGCGGTGTAACAGCAGAAAGCCAGCTAGAAATTCAGGAATGAAGATCTCTTCACTCACATCCCATGTTGTTGGGGGCTCATACTCAGCGGAATGCTAAGATTTTGCCGACCAGCCATCACTTGAACCTGCCCAATTCCAGGTCCACACTGTGCTATGCCATTGGGGTTCTTCCCCATCAGGATTTTCATCCTGGGTGGTCTCAACCTGCACCTGGTCCTCCGTCTCGCCTCTTGAACCCGTGTGTACGGATTCCCGACCCCAGTCACTCCACGCCGGCCGATGTCCCTCCGAGCTGCTGGACTTGGTGGGTTCACCAAACTCCTTTTGAACACGACGAAGCGCAGCTGAAGCTTCCCACAACGCCTCGGTGTGCCTGGCGATCCACTCGGTCATGCTCTCGCCACGGGACCTATTGAGGTTGTAGAAAAACTTGAGCACATGTCTACTGGCATCCACCAGACTGGCTTCGCCAACTGCTCTTCAAGAAACTCCAACAGCTGGTACACGCACCTAGGATGGGACAACCATTGTGGATTCTTCAGGGTCTGCGATCTCGTGATCACCTTGGCCGCACCTATCAACGACTGGAGGAGCCGTGGACCACAGAGGTACCTCTTGTGATATTCTATGGTCATGGCATACTGGATGGCCTTCTCCTTGTAGCTAGGAAGGGTCTCTGGCGTGCCATCATAGCTAGGAACATTCTCTCGACTCATCTTCAATGCACCCTTCGCCAACTGGCTCAGATGCAAACCCAACTTCACCTGGATCAAAAACGAGCCTGCACCTCTTCGTCGAACTCAAGGTGCAACCAGGCTCTTCGCTACCATGAAATTGCGATGGCAGCAACGAACCCTATCTTTCACCTGTTTAGGGGCGTCTCGATCCTAAAGACAAAGTGGAGTAGGGTAAAATGCTGTGCGTTTTGCATATATATATATATATTACGAAAGCCAGCCGATAGGCTAGGCTTGAGCTTTTAGACCGAACGAAGTGAGTTAAGGGGGTGTGGGGGGGTAGGAGGCGAAAGGCACCATTTGAGAGGGTGAGCCCGGAGCTTGCCTGGGGAGAGCGCTCCAAAGCGAGGGTCAGAAAAGCAGTGAAAATGGGGTCTGGTGATGCGAGTGATGCAATGGACGCCGAGTAGTGCATCATTAGCATCATGAAGGGCTGTGGAGACTATTTGGACAATGGGCATTGAGCACTGGAGTGGAGACAGGCATCCATGTACAGAGCAACGGTAGTTGGTTGGCAGCGACGAGTGCCTACCAGAAAAGGGGCCCGTGTAGATAGCAACTTCGTGGAAGAGATTGGTGTTGTTTAAGGACTTGTTATAGCCACGGATCTATGCAATATTTTAGGATGACGCTTGGTTGAAGCATACAGTGCCTGCCATCGTCCTAGTAGGCATGTGTTACTTAGACGGCTTGTTCTTTTGACCCTCTCGCCTGGCGGCTGCTGGCTTTCGTTCCCCCCCTTCTCAGGCATATTATATATATATATATATGTTTGATGCTCGAGATGTATCAATATGTTTGATTATTCTCCAGGATTTTGCCATCATACAACACGGATGGCGACGCGGACAAAGCCCGGACCCTCAAGGACTATGTGGATGAGATCACCGAAGGTCACGGTTCTGGGGGCCCGGGCAAAAGCAAAAGATCAAAGCTTTCCAAGGGACGGCAGTTAGGCAGCAAGGCACCAGAGGATGAAGACGTCAACCTTGAGGAGGCCGGAGGTGAAACTATGATTCTAATGAACTTAACAAGTCAAGGGGAAAGCTTTAAGATCCTTGCGCAGTTTTTGGTGACGCTTATGTTGGAACTAATGATTGACGCGCAATACGATTGGTAATTGTGTGCGTGTAAAGAGGTTCTATTGAGCAAACCAACTTTTTTTATCTTCAATCCCTTGGTCCTGTAGGCCACCCCTTTGGAAAGTTTAGTGATGCGAACCTCTCACACCTGGTACCTCTCAAAGTTTGCAGAGTTCATGCGGCTGTGGCTCCCGTACGCGTCTTGGATTCAGACCAAGCCTTTTGCTTGACCTAGAGGCCTTTTGTTCGGAACCGATTCACTAGGATGCATAAGGCTTCAAATGAATATGAGCAATCCAGGACACCTACTCAAAGTATTCAATGGGTCTAGGGATCCTATGCTTGGGACACAGCAGCGCCTACTTTGCACTGGGCTACTTGTCGGTGAAAGATTACTGGTTAACTGAGTATGCTGCATTCATCATCACAATGGCGTTTATCATGATGGTGGGTCTCATCATTTACAGCAACTTTCGAGCGCCCAGCACACGCGTGCGGATGGTGACCGTGGCCTTAATTTGCTTGGGGCCGACCTGCTCCACTTTCGCTGCAATTGTGGCCAGTGAGGTGGCGAAACGGATTTTGGTACCTGTTTCTTTTACAGCTCACTTTTTCCTATGGGTGCTGGTCTATGCCTTTGCCCGGGACTTGCATGATACAGCCATGCACTTTATCCGACCAGGAGAAGGCTTCTGGTCAAAGAGTGCACCAGGTGAGAAGAAGTGTGATGACCTCGAGCATGGCAACAGCCATTTGCGCTGGAAGCACCAGGAGGAGCAATACCACAAGGAGTGGTTGCGTCACCAACCTGGATATAGAGATCAGACACGAACGCTCTCATCCCACCAGATGGAGAAGATGGACCGACAGCTGGAGCGGATGGACTACATTGAGCAATCGCCATGTGCCAGAAATTCGCTCCGTGCCTTGTCCTGTGGGGCCTGTGAGGTGCCCGGCGACCGCGGCGACCGCAGCGGCCACAGTGGCTGCGGCGACACTGGAGCTGAAGCGTTTGAAGATCTTCAAGGCCAGCCCCCTGAAGAGCCACGCAAATCTAAGCCTGACTTCATCGGATGGCCAACTGATGAAGATGAATTTGCAGTGCATGCGGAGCACACCAAAAGCCACATCAAGAGCACAGCACATTCCACAATCTGCCTGAGCGCCCTGCTGTGGCTGGCCATGCTCATTTGGGCCATCATGACCTACTGGCTTGCTCCCTCTGAGGTACCCAAGTACGCAACACTCTCACAGGAGCAGCCCATGGTAGTTTGGCCAACGGCGACCTTCTGCCCGAGGTTCATCGCCTGCAAACAGGGTGTCACGTTTGCCTCGGACGGCTACCAGATATTTCAAATCGACCTTGCGGGTGGTACTGCAAAGAGAGTGAACTGCATAGGCTTGCGTGGCCCAATCTCGGATTTGAGTGTTTCTTGCACGCCGAAGGGGTGTGTTCCAGTAGCTTTGGCACATAGCGTGGTACATTGTGGACAGGGCCCCACCGCTGTGCAAGACACTTTGCACCACTTCACTGTGTATGGCAGAGGATCTTTCCAAGAGCAGCGGATGCTGAGTGCAAGTTCGTCAGAACTGGTTTCCTACGGCTGGTCTGGAGATGAATGGCAAGGCTTAGCCTTCTTGGGCCATTCTCGCTTTTTGAGTGACCTCGGAGGAATTCACAATCGAAAGCTTCGCTCGAACGAGGGCCTGATAACTTTGGACGAGCTTCCTTCAGGAGATTTCTTGTTTGTCCGGAGGGTCCCAATGTCCAAACCCAGCGTGCAGATCCGGAATGCCAGCGACATGACAGTGAACGGTCAGTGGCACCTGCCTGCCAGGCTTCCAGAGGTTCAGAGTGCCTGTGCATTTGATTCCAATTCCATGCTTGTATTGCTCAGCAGTGGTGCTGAAGCTGACGGGCAGCGAAGCTTGCACAGACTTCAGTTAACGACATGAGTGGCTGCACCCAGCCAGTAGGTAATGATGGGAGCTGCGCAATTGCACCTCTAGGGTGCTAACCGGAGCGGCTGTTTCAAAGAGGAGGCGCTGACTTAGAGTCTCTAAGTCTTAGAGATGGGGAGTTGACCGTTCTCACTGAACTGTTGCTTTAACGACTTCGACAAGTGGTAAGGGACTGCGCGGTGGATTTGAAGAAGTTTTAACCATTGATGTGATTTGACTATCAAAGTCCTGTCCGAAAACCCTCCCAGTACCTGCAAACAAAGCCTCACTGACGTCTTCAGAACTCATGACTTTATTCGGAGCAATGTATCCGATACATTCCGATACCTGTTGGACTTTTGGACAAGTTGCAATTTCTTCCTTCACCCTCCACACCTGTTCAACCTGTTCATTTTCCCTCCACGCCTTGCCCTGATTCGGGGTTGAGGAGGGCATGTCAGATGGGGTGTGACACTTTGCGGCCAGGAAGAGCAGGACGAGGTTGCCAGCTTGGTGCCCAGCAAGAAGCAGGGACCGATCACTTAGATTCACTTCGCAGAGGGCGTATATAGTAGCAGTCCACATGTTCGAACCAGAAGGGTGGGATGTGTTTGGCGCCATGTCCTGCAGAGTGTCCTGGTGCATTCCATCTTTTTTTTCAAAACACCTGCCTTAAAAAAACATCGCGGTGAATTAGTTCTGATACCTCAAGACCTCCATTTCGGGCAACATAAGCGGGCAGTGGCTGCTTGGTGTCCAGTAGCATCCAGAAGCCACCGTTTAGTTCTTTTGATCAATTTGACTTGTCGGACACTGTTCAGATTTGAAGTACAGGACCTGGTCACTGTTTTTGTCCATGTGCGCTCCAAGTGGTTAGTTTTGGATGGAAACGCCGCTGCCAGACTTAGGACAACGTTTAGAAGAGGCACGTTGGAGTTGGAGCTTACTGGCATGCCTGCTGACAACCATTTCAATAGACTCGTATAATAGGCTTGCGGGGGGGACAGGGCATTTGCAATATATTTGTAGGCCCGGCTTTTGATTGGCATTTCATTGACTCCATTGGTTGTGATCCACAATGCTTTTCGACACTGTCACACTTCGTGCTGGAGTATTCTAAGCTTTTGGGCAGGTACCGAACAACATTGTTCGCCATGTTTCATTCATTGTTGTAGGAGCTGAAGAGAGAGCAAGAACTCCACAACCTCCAGAAGGCCGCTCGGTTGGAGCCCAGTCAGACCAGTCAGAGCTCAATGCAATGTAATTAGGTAAGTATGTAGGTAAGTATGTAATGTAATGGTGTGTAATGTTATGTAACAATGTTATGTTAGGAATGTAATGTAATGCAATGCAATGCAATGCAATGCATGTATGTATGTATGCATGGATGCATGCATTGCATTAATGTATTAATGTATTATGTATTGTAATGTTTTGTGATGTATTGCACTGTAAGGAGTGAAATGTAATGTAATATAATGTAATGTATATTGTCAATGCAGGTGCACAATATTATGTACAGCCAATATAGATGCGTGAGACAACTGCCAACCTTTGGCTCAAGGATCGCCTTGCGGAGAAAAGGTTAGCGAGCTACCTTGCTGCGCATGGTCATCGGATGGCTTTGTCAACTGTTGGGTTGCAGGGCAACAGGATCACAGATATCCGGTGAAGGCAGAGTCGCTCCACCGGAGACGACATCCGCTGGAACAGACACAAGAGCAGGCAACATGAAGAGAGTATTAAAGATATTTGAAAGATCAACATCACCGAGGACAACTACGCGAAGATCGCCCAAGAGAGATATTGAAAGAGTCGAGATCGAGGACCCTACAGAAAAGAGAAATGCGACTCATTGAGGAACTACGACCAGCGAGAGTATCATACCAATATTTGAACGATGAGCACACCTGTCTACATGACGGATACAGAAGACTCTACACTGAATCGCAGGAAGAATTTTCGCAATTGACGAGATGCAACAAGACTATGCACTTGAACTTCAAGAGATGATGCAAGAAGATGAAGGAGCGACTATCCGCATTGAAGAACTAGAAAGGAAGCTCCGACTTGCTGAATCATTGGCAGTTCACATATACACAAGGTATGAAGATCTTGCCCAAGAAAGTCACGAAGAACATTCGCAACTTGATGAAGTGAGATCCAAGATGAGTGACGTGACCAGCGAAATGCCAGAGTGCCTTTCACTACATCCAAGAACAAAACCGAAGCTCTGATTTCTACAGCCAACGAGCTCAGCACTTGAGCGAAGAGAACATGGCAATCATGAAAACCTCCAGTGATCTTCAATCAAGAATGCTAGAAGTACAGGACGAAAACAGCAACATGTTTGAAGTAGCTCAGAGAGAGAGAGAGAGGGAGAAACAGTGGAATAGTGAGGTACAACAGATGCAGTTGGCTGATGAGATTACTGAGACTACCGGTCATCAGTATCAAGAGAAGAGAATGGTTGAACGCCTTCGTGGACAACTAGCTATCATCAAAGGATCAGAGCTAAATACAGTTGCAGAGACGAATGACTTTGCGCAAAAGTCCGAAATTTCACGGATACAAGTAGTTCCCGGGCAAGCCGGCGGCGGAAGTTTCCAAAAGAAAAAACCTATAGGAAATGGGCATGTAGCAGGCTGATTAAAGATGACTCAGCCGCGTAGTAAAATTGTACTACAAAGTCACCCGTTCTCAGCTTCCAGCTCCACGATTGCTCCGCATACTAAAGTTGTACTAGAAAGTCGCCAGTTCTCATCTTCCGCTCCCCAGATACTCCGCGTACTAAAGTTGTACTACAAAGTCGCCAGTTCTCA